GGTAAGACATTTCTGTGGCGAGCAATTTGTGAGCAATTAAGATTTGAGAAGAGGATAGTATTATGTGTTGCTTCATCTGGTATTGCTGCACTGCTCATGGTCGGTGGAAGAACTGCACACTCAAGATTTCACATTCCCCTGGATTGTGATACAAAATCAACTTGCAATATTGAGCAAGGTTCTGAGGTAGCTGAATTGATTCTCAATGCTTCACTTATTATCTGGGACGAGGCACCGATGGCTCATAAACACAACATAGAGGCCCTAGATAGGACATTGAGGGATATTTTCCGAGTTAAGCATGTTGATTCTGAGTTGAAGCCTTTTGGAGGTATGATTATTGTGTTTGGAGGTGATTTCCGACAGACGTTACCTATCATCACGAAGGGTACACGGACTGAAATTGTTAATTCTTCTATAAAGAGATCTTATTTGTGGCGGTCTATGACAGTATTGAAGCTAACCGAGAACATGCGATTAAAATTGCCTCATTCTGAAGCATCGGCCAGGTTAGCAATCTCAAATTTTAGCAAATGGCTTTTGGAAATTGGTGATGGTACAAATAGTAATATTTTTGGAGAATCAATTATCCCGATACCTCTACACATTTGTGTTCCCCGTCGCAGTGATCCAATTCCTGATATTGTTGCTGAAATATATGGTCAGTTACTCTCCACTGAAAATATGTCAACCTATTTGGTTGAGCGAGCTATCTTAGCCCCTCATAATGACACTGTTGCGGCCATTAACAATTATGTATTGGGTCTATTTCCTGGTGAAGAAGTTTCTTATTTTAGTTCGGATTCGCTAGAGATTGATGCCAAAAATCAGCATGTTGAAGAAGGGGACTACACAGTTGAATTCTTGAACTCTTTAAAGATTGGGAATTTTCCGGAACATGAGTTGAAATTGAAGTTGGGGTGCCCTGTTATTCTGCTTCGAAATCTGGATCAGAGTAATGGGCTTTGCAATGGAACTCGGATGATCGTTAAGAGATTAGGTAAGTGGTTTATTGAGGTCCAAATTTTGACCGGGACACATGTTGGTGATACAGTTTTCTTACCACGCCTAAGTCTATCGGTCCACTACAAGAGCTTAAATTTCACTCTGGTTCGAAGGCAATATCCAATTGCACTGTCATATGCAATGACAATTAACAAGAGTCAAGGTCAAATATTAAATCACGTTGGCATCTGCTTGCAAAGACAAGTATTTTCTCATGGACAGTTGTATGTTGCTATGTCTCGAGTTACGTCGGAAAGGGGACTCAAGATTCTTAGCTGTGACTCTCAAGGTAAACCGGTAAAGACTATGCAGAACATTGTGTTCACTGAGATTTTTGAGTAGTGGTTTATTGATGTATTATGTTTTATTCGATTTGAGGACTAAGACTGTCAAATTTATCGGGTCGTTACAATTTGAATCTTGAGTTCTCAATTTGTCCAAATTATTTTCCTGTTTTTAACAGCCAATTATATGAAATGTGATTTATGCACACTACTTTATATTTAATTGTACCTCAATTTACTCTACCGAAGGGTATGCGAGTGTGACCGTTATATTGCAATACGAAGAAGAACTTCCATAGTCGCAAATGAACTAAACTAAATTAACACCACAACCCAGCCCACAAAACAACCCAAGCATGGTTCAGTTAAATAAAATATAGTTAGAGAGGGAATGCCCAGCCAGATTTGTTGAAACTAAATGGCCAACCTATTCCCATAAGAAAAAAGGCCAACCTACACTACCTTGGGCGAATCCTTCTCCACTCCCCCACTCCCCCACCTCCTCTACTGCCCAGTATCCGATTTTTTTGGATCTTCTATGAGGTGAAGGCTGCCGCATTCCAAGCCATTATTTATTTATTAAATATATTCATTATGATTTTCATTTCATGTTAATTAGTGGTGGTGTGGGCCGGGTCGGCCGGGTTGGCGCATCAAATAATAATTAGCAACTTTGAGAGGCAATTTTGGACAAGAATTGTTGACACAGTCGCAGTTAGCAATGTTGTTAAAACGGAACCGGACATCGATCCGGATTAGTAAAGGGTTCAAGGTTTATCAAATAACCGGTGGTTAATCGAATTTAAAAATCGATCATAAACCGGTGTTGACTTACTTGGTAGACTTAACAATTATTTTTTTTACAATTATTGTTTCACTTATTAGAGATAAAAGAATAAAGTGAGAATTATTAAAACTGAAAAAGCATAATTTGGGCGGCTGCTAGGTCTTTTTTGGGAAAAGTGAACTGATTTTTCTTCTCTTTATATTTTATTATGTATTTACCTTCTTTTGTTTTTGAATTTTTAATTGCAACAAAATAAAAGGAAGACGCATGTTTGATTTTAAGAAGGTGGGTCGTTCCCCTCAAAAAATAAAAGTAAGGTGGGTCGTGAGTTCCGTGACACACCCGCCTCTTGAACTCTAAATGGCCAACCTTCTCCACTCCCCCACGAGGCCACAAATCCTTCTCCACTCCCCCACTATCCCACTTTCCACACACACACGTACTCCACTGCATGCGGCCAAGTAAATCACGTGTGTAAAATCACTTTCTCTCCTTTATATAATGGAGATACCACTTTCTCTCATGTTACAATTTCCGTTTACTACTTCCCATACAAAACACTTCGGTTCCATTGACCGTGCGAATTGCATTCAATATGGCGGGCCTGCCTCAATTCAATCAGTAAGTACTGCTCATGCATCCAACAAATACTACATCATGTAATTTGGATTCTTTTTCACTACTTAATGCCAAAACTTACAGTCCAATATATAGGCTTCCCCATGGTTTTATTGCTAATCTGCAATATGATGATGCTCTTGAAATTTGTGAGCGTGCCGACACCATCGATCTCATTATGTTGCAAGTGGATGTCGAAAATCAGGTAACTAAACAAATAAATTTCTTTTTAATCGTATGCCTTTTGTGGCATGCTGCATTTTATCGATTTGCTTTGACAATATTCGTTTCTGTGTTTACATCAGGGCACCTCTTTTTTGTTATCCAGAATCCATTTCGTCCACCTCACAATTGAGGACGAATTCATTGGTGTTGACATCGTCTTCCCGTCATCACAGTTACGAACGATTGTTGAATCTGTATTCAGTCATGCAGATGTTGTCAATGCTGACTATATGGCCCTTCTGAACATGCTCGGAGAACAGACATTTGAAGTCATGGTCACAGTCGGTCCCTAGAACGATGCATTTGGTTATTGTGAACTTGTGTTGGTGAAATTATTTTTTCCTTTGTTGAATTGAGTACCATGTCATGAACAATGAGACAATGTATTGAGTTTTCTTATTTTGGACTTGCATGTTATTTGTCGTAATACTCAACTAGATTAGATTTGTGATTAGTAAAATTTCATGTAAGTATTTTTATTGTGATTAGCTAATCTTCAAATGTATTTCTAACTTATTATGAATGTTCATTCATATTACATGTTCGTCTTCAACGAATTGCAAAATTGCAACAATCTTATGATAATATAAAACAAGACTAATTTCTCGACACTATCATTATAGATATTGTAACTCCATTTCCTTAAACAAATGCGGCCAACGGGCCGGGCTATATCTACACATAATATAATACACCGAAGGGAAAAACGGGAGCCCCATTTCAAATTTCCTGCAACGAGAGTGAAAGTAGGAAGGACATTTTGGTCTTCACAATTACTTTTTTTTTTGTTCATTAAAAAGATATGTACTGGGATTCGAACCATGACCATTTTAAAGAAAGGCAATGATCATAACCAATCACACTAAGTACATTTGTTGTATCCTTTTAAATTAAAAACATATAATAGCAGGGTGGAAAAAACTCTTCCCCCATTTCAAATTCCTGTTCCATGAGCGTTTGTAGGAAGGGTAGAATAGGGAGTGTCAATTTTTTTCTCTTTTCTCTGTGGAACGGGCCAACTTACCGTACACATGCGGATTTAAACGAGTCCAGGAGTGTCAATTTTTTTCTTTATACCTTTTTATTTATCCGTGGTGATAAAATATATATGAAAAGGCAAAAATAATACTTCTTTTTATTGTTAAAAATAAAAAATTTAACAATAGACTAATGCATGATATCTAATGGGCTAACCGCTAACCATAAAATAAAAGAGTTGAATGAGCCTGACCTACATGGGATTTGGTCATCAAGTAAAACAAATGAACATCATGGGTTTGCCATTCTAAAACAAGCTATTTTCTCTGGCATAATATATATTATGCTATTATTTTATATCTTAGTGGCTAAAATATAATGTATTTTAAAATTATTCAATGGTTCAACCTCGACCAACCCAATTAGTCCAATTTTTATCATTTCAAATATATATTTTATAATTATTTGACATCATAATGATCAAATTATAGTATATTTTATAGGGAATCGTTTGGTATTTGTTAGTAAAAAACTAAACATAAAAATCTATTTGGTTATTTTAAACATTAAAACGATCCTCAACATTTTCAGTTCCTTTTGAATTTATATGGTTTTATTCCCGAATAAGTGATGTGCAAATGGCGAATTGTAGTCGTCTTTTTTCTTTCACTATTTTTTTATTTTCAAATAGAAAGTTTAAAAGTAAAGAATAATTAGAATTTGGCATGGGTCGGTCAAACAGGTTGAATTTCAAGTTTTGGCCCATTTGTTTTATGCATTGCAAATTTATTAGCATGTTGATGGAAATGGCTTGGAAAAAAGACATATAAGTTGTATCTTTGCATAAATGTCCTCAAATGTTTGAATGCTTTGTGAATCAGGTTCTGTGACTTTTGTGATGGTGTATGTGCTTGACGATTGCTCGATGTTGTAACTACTTAATTTAAGAGTAAATCTTTTGATTTTCCCTATGAGTTGTGATACCAGTTCTGGTGGTTGCAGCATGTTGTCGTTGTTGGCCTGTAAAAGTTGTTTCGCCGTGATGCTAAATATCTTTCTTTCTTTTTTAACAAATTGTGTAGTAGTGCTATGAAACAGACCACCCATGAACGCTACGCTTATTATGGTCTGTTCTTACTTCCGGTGGTGAGAAATTGTGAATTGAGAATCATATTCGCCTACCGCACTATGTCTGGTTGGTGGCTGCTTACTGTGCTCTCTAGAGTTATGAAACAGACTACCCATGAACTTTACCCTTAAGAGTCCATAACTTTGCGAAAAACCAAATATAGGCAATCAAAGGTGGTGGATGTGTGATGATTTTTTATGGCTTAATTGTTTGTGAATTAGATATCTGATCTTTGTATGATTAGAGGGGATGTTTGCTTAATAGAATAATCCATTTTAATTCATGTTTATTTTTAACATGAACTTTAGTAGCTCAAAACCTTCGAGACACATATCACCTACTCCATTGTATCATTTTGCCTGGGTGCTTGCTGTGTTGTCAAACTTCTTTGCTGCTGATGCATTTACACTAACAGGAGAGTTAAGAACCCATGAATGTTTCCGTTTGACACAAACAAGAGGACTTACTTCTAAATCGTGCACTAAAGATGATTGGAGGAAACATCTCTGTTGCAGTTGATACACTGGAGACCATAACAAAAGCAACGTATAACATCAAAACCAACCATCTAAACTATAAGCATTGTTGCTTTACTCTTTTTTCGTGGTTGAGTCTCCTTCAGAAAATTTAGTTTGATTTTAGAAAATTTTGCTTCTGCAGTCCTGTCTTGCCACCAACGCGTTCAGTAGATGGAGATGGCAGAGGCGAAGGCTATTTTGTGTTGTTGTTGCTGGTTTAGGGATCGGTTTGTGAAGAAGAAGGAGAAGAGAGGGGGAAAGGGAAATGCATGAGAGGGGGATAACTCTTTTCTCCGACAAAAATGGAGTGAAGAAAGGAATTATGATCAGTAAGGATATGGTTATCTTACATAACTGTGTCTATTCTGTTTGAATTGAGCTTGGGAGGTAGTGATAAGGATGAGCTGCAACCAATTCATAGTGATAAGAGTGCTATGAACTGTGATCATGTCTTATTTCAAGTTAGAAGGTAGTTTCAGTATAAGGATTTTTTAATTTGACAAGTTGTTTCGTCCATGATTCTTGGTAGTTTCAGTGCCATTCTAGCCATTGTTTAGTCTGTAATTTTTGAGAATTGATGTGCGAGTAATGACTTTCACTTAGCTTCAACTATTATGTGTGTATTTATTGGCATGTGATAGAATTCTCTTTTCCTTTTCTTTGAATTCAGTTTCATACTCTAATTGTATCATTTGTACATAGGCAAATCATGCTCGAGATGACAACTCGCTGATATGGCTGGTGCAAGGAATGAAGCCATCATTAAAATTCAGACCGACAACGGGGAGGGATGCCCAGGACTAATTCAATGATGATTGATGATGGTATGATAAAAACTGCAGTCTGCATCAGCACCAATTTCTAGGCCTAAGTAAAGTTATTCAACCCAGAACTCTGCTTAGCGCTAAAAATTGCCCTCACCCAACTTTTATCCTGTTTGACCCACTTCTGAAGAGTCAAGATATATTACTAATTCTCTCCGTTCGTATTTTCTTATTGACTCTTTCTGACCCTTTAGGTTGGGGCGGGTCGGGAAGAATCGGATTAGTGGGCCGGTCTTAATCAAGTGGAATCTCAATCCCTTCACTCTCACTTGCTTTCTCTCCCATTCCACAAGTGGGTAACATACAGTAATCCGGCCAACGGGCCGGGTAATAAGCTAGTAGGCTAGTATATTTTAAGAGAGAAAAGATTTAAGATTACAAAGCCAAAATCAATCAGCAGCCGCTCTTCCTAATTACGCCTAATTACGGAAGTCTTCTCGGGAATGTCGTAATGCACGACCCGCCGCCGTATTGAGTCTTCTTTCTCTGTTCCTATTCTCAGAAGAGCAAAACAGGTCCGCATTGACGGGAAAACTGAGGAAGGAAACCAGCAGCTCCTCCAGGTCTCCTCTGTTTCTGCTGCACTTCTTCGATCACCGTTTTCATCCTCGTCGGCTTTTCGCTGTCCTGTGCCACGAAAGGATGCCTGAGCAACGAATTCGCATCGCTGCGACAGATGTAATTCTTCGCGAAGCACTTGCTCAGGAAATCCTTCGCGTCTCCCGACAACCACCCCGGAATCTCCGGCCGGCATCCTTTCCTGATCTCCCTCAAAACATCCCGATCGTCGTCCAACCTATCCCACGGCATCTCCCCGGTGAGCATTTCGAGCACCGTGCAGCCCAGCGCCCATATATCCATGGCCCCAGTCACCGTCCCGTCAGCCAACACCTCAGGCGGCATGTATCTCGGCGAGCCCCTTAAATTCTTGCTGCCCGAAACCATCGCCAAACCGAAGTCAGCCACCTTCAATTCGGGTATCGTCTCTCCTTTCGTTCCGTCCCCTGCCTCCCTCGGGAAGACGAGAATGTTGCTGGGCTTGATGTCGCAGTGGACGTACCCGAGAGAGTGGATGGAGGAGAGTGCTTTGAGGAGCATAAGGGTGTAAACCCTAACGTGTCTTCGAGGGATTGCCGCTCCTACTCCGCCGCCGTAAATCAAGTCCATCAGCGAACCGCCGGAAGCGTACTCCAAAAGCAAATCATACCTCCTTAACCCGTTTTCTGGATTTAGTTCCTTGGACAGCCCGCCGCCGAGACACCGGACAATCCCGGGAACATCCCTGAACTTTTCCAGAATTTGATGCTCCGCGGTTAGAGACTCCTTCTTGTCTTCTGGTACTGATTTCACCGCCATATTTGGCAGCTTGGGGTCCGTCGGATTGGCGACAAACACCTCTCCAAAGCTTCCCTGACCTAGAGGCTTTCCTCGAGTGCAATCCATCTTTGCCGCCGGCGAATCAGTGAATGGAGAAGGAAAGAGGAAAACAGAGAGTGAGTGTTTGAGTGTATTGGGTTGGGAGAGGAAGTTGGTCTGTCTCAATATGGCAACGAAGGTATAGTTTTATAGGGCAGCAGAGTAAACGGAGGTCGGCGGCCGATCAAACCCTTTTCCGTTTGGGAACCGGAAATAGGAAGAATAAGAAGCCGTGTTAACTTCGGAGTTCGGATCTCCTTCTCCTTCTATGTCTCGGAAAAAAAAAGGAGGGGTATAAAATACATTGGACCTTCCTTTTTTATGTAAGCCCAAACGAAAAGGGTTGCCTGTGGGCCGCTCGAATTGGGCCACCAGCCCATCACTTAGGTCGCTCGAAAAGAAAACCCATAATGAGGGCAAAAGGGGAAAACATGCATATGAATACCAAAGTAACCATCACAATTCACAAGTAGGTGTTTTCTGTAACCAGGTATGACTTGGTTACAGCGAAAATAGTCGACCAGGTTAAGTTGCCGTGGGGAAGAAGGCATTACAATGCAGCAAATCCATGACAAAGTGATAGAAATGTACCGGGAGTCATTACAGATCCTCTTTTATTATAGCATCAGCTTGCACTTACAGTAGGCTGAGCACATCTCTATGCAGTCTTCAGTCACCTGCATTGTAGGCCAAACTCATCAGCACCAGAAGAAAAAGGTATGCGAGTAAAAGAAAACAATATCGATGATCAAAGGCGTCTAATCACTCATCAGAGCTATCAAGGACAGATTTAAGTACTGAATTTCTCCGCCACGCAGTGATTGCATAACTGGACCGGATTAGGATTGCCGAATTCAAAATTATCCAGTACTCGTAGATGATAAACTTGCAAAACGGTTCGAGCATTCAACAATTTAGAGGCCAGATGTTCTTCTTCGGTATTCAAATATTGATTTGTGATTCATCAAACAACCAGAAGAGGAAAATCACAGAGAAAATATCTTCTTAAGGGAAAGACACATAGGCAAATGTGAATACTAATGTGTCCTGTCTGTGCCCCTAACTCCACCAAATTTCACATGACAGATCAAGTGCCCCTGACAGCAGACTAATAGCTTAAAAGGAAATTTCTTCTTCCTGATTTTCTGGGTCCTTTAAAGGTCTAGATGGAATTTTTACTAAGAAACAACACATAATCTCTCTTCCAATGTGCAACTGACCAAGAATGTAGCTCATAGAAGCAAAATCAAATGGTTCTCTTCACATGAACCACGCAAGAACTTTAACTCAATTTAAACGGACAATGAACAGCAGATACTAATCCTGTCAGTTTCTTCCTTGAGAACAAACTAAGTTGAAAGACATCCAATTCCATGCTCAATCAAAATAAGCATCCATTGTCAGAAGACCAGCAAGGGATTGCTAGAGCTAATAAGAGGAACCTCATCTGTTTACAACACACATTCATATTTTCAGCAGGAAGGACCATCCAGACTTTCAAAGCCGCAGTGAGCCTAAATCCCTAGATTTGCCCTTAATCTGGGCTTAATTTGCAGAGATTCAACTCTTAATATGTTTATCAGGTTCGATCCTGTGCAGTTACTAGTCAGTTCCCGTTATCTTGCTTGTACCCTTAACCAATCTCTTCAATCAAAGTTAAGCTCAATTTCCAGAAAACACAAATTTTCAGTACTTAGCTAGCAGCCCCCAACTCAAAGATTATCCAAACTGCAACAACAAAAGCAGAAAGCCAAGAGACCAACCTGATTGACTAGGCATCGCCGACAGGTTTGAAGTGCTGGAGCTCCTTGAAGTTCATCCATGGCTTCACCCACACCTTAGCTTCATAGGCCTTCTTCTCCCCGCCCTCAGTTGCTTCCAAGGTAATATGGTGCATCGTGCCGGACACCACCTGCTGCTTTGTCTTGACAACACTGTGGAACTCCAGCAGCGCATTCTGCACCAAGAACAAGCACAGGTTCAATGCTCTCAGTCCATTATTTATCAAACCAAAATTCCACAGAAGCACCGCGGGAACTGATGATCGGTCCTCATAGGGGAACCACACCATCAATACGAGTACAGGTAGATTTCCATTCCGTAGTGATCGCCTCCGATCCGCTTCAAACAGCGATCAATCGGGAGAAAAAGGGGTAAAAAATGTGCTAGCTACCTGTTTCTTGTTGTGTTCATCGACGGCGAAACGTGCTAGCTCGTCGATCTCCAGGCTGTTGGCCGATCCTTCGGCTTCACGAATACCTCCTAGCGTCGCCATTGTTGCTGTCTCTGCTTTCCGAGATTCTCTTGGTGGGTTTCTTTTTCTTTTAGCGTGCTTCTGCTGCTACTATGGATATGGCCTGGCATATTTTATTGTGAGCAGCCAAAAGTAACGCAATAAATAATTTTCAGTTAATTAAAATATTATTTATCCGGAAAAGACCGCGTCTTTCTTATTGGCATTCCATCGAACACATTGTAGGCAGAAAACCCAGATGACCCAATCCACAGTACCAAATGCACGTAGCATTGCGATTTCAGTCCCGCATCAGAACAGTAGCGGCTGCTACCTTCCAGTGCAACAAAGTCCTTTTCTCAACGTTATATTCGGAGGAACCAGCTGTGCCATCATCCTTGGTTTCCCATTACTTTGCACTTCTACACTCCTCCAATCACCCTACTCATCTCGGCCACCTACATGCTCGCTTGCTCCGCACTACCCTTTACGACAATGTGATTCTCAGTTCCAAGCTCGTTTTGATGTACTCCCGTCTCGGGAAGCTCAACCCTCATTCTTTATCCGTCTTCTTCCACATGCCGCACCGAAACGTCTACTCCTGGAACATCGTGATCGGCGAGTTTTCTCGCTCCAATATGCCTGAGAAGTCCATTGAGCTGTTTCTTCGTATGTGGAAGGAAGCCCAAGCACGGCCGGACGATTTCTCACTCCCTCTTGTTTTACGGGCCTGCGCTGGATGTGGGTCGATGGGATTAGGCGTTGCAGTACATGGGTTATGTGTGAAATTGGGATTGGTGGTCAGCATCTTCGTTGCGTCGGCTTTGGTTTTCATGTATGTGACTCTGGGTAGGATGTCTCATGCGAGGAAGGTGTTCGATGAAATGTCGCAAAGAGATGCTGTGCTATGGACGTCTATGTTGGCTGGATATGCTCAGACGGGGGAATCAATGTCAGGTCTGGAATTGCTCAGGGAAATGATAAATTCTGCTGTTGAGCTTGATTGGGTCGTTATGGTGAGCTTGCTTACCATGTGCAGCCAACTGGGTTGGTTGAAGCAGGGGAAGACTGCTCACGCTTGGTGCTTGAAAAATTGTCTGGGAATGGAGTTGAGCTTGGGAAACGCCATTGTCGACATGTATGTGAAGTGCTCCAATCTGACCTACGCGCAAACGATGTTCGATACCATGCCTGCAAAGGATGTGCTCTCTTGGAGCTCCTTGATTCTGGGTTACGGGTTGAGTGGCAATGTCAGCGTTGCCCTGCAGCTATTCGATCATATGCTTAGGAGAAGGTTCAAGCCGAATGAAGTCACGTTTCTTGGCGTTCTATCAGCGTGTGCCCATGGCGGGTTGGTGGAGCAGGGGCGTCGGTGTTTCGACATGATGAGAGACCAGGGGGTCGTTCCTGAGCTGAAACATTATGCAAACATGGTTGATTGCTTAGGAAGAGCAGGGCGTTTGGAAGAAGCGGAGAGATTCGTCGAAGAGATGCCGATGGAACCTGATGTAGCTGTGCTGGGAGCTGTACTAGCAGGGTGTAGAGTTCACAACAATGTCGATGTAGGCGAACGATTCGCCAAGAAATTGATGAGGTTGGAGCCAGGGAGAGCTGGGTACTATGTGCTTCTGGCGAACATGTATGCAACAGCAGGCAGATTTGAAGATGCTGAGATGGTTAGGAGCTTCATGAAGGATGTGAATTTGGTCAAGGCACCTGGATGTAGCTTGATTGAGCCCAACAAGCATTCTTTCCCCTTTGAAGTTGCAGAATCAGGTTCAGCTTTGCCATGATTGAAACTATCCGTGGGATGCCAGGATTCTGAAGTTCTCGGCTGTTTAGTTTTATGGCCGATACTTTTGCAGGATGAATCATAAGGTCCGGATAATCGAAACTTTGGCCTATTCGGCACCCCACACAGAGGTCAACTTGGTGGCCGATCACTTAGTTTGTGTAGGTTACACTTTATTGAGGAAAAAATTCAAAACTACCACTATAAAAAAAATTTACAAAAATACCACACATTCCCAACAATTTTCAAAAATACCACCCTTTCACACAAAACGCACCTCGAAGGCGTGGTTAAAGCACAAACCGCCTTTGGAACACGCGCTTTGACTCTTCCTGGCTGTCAAACTGCGTTGCCACGTGGCAGTACAAGCAACCGCTGGTAGGGGAAGCGATCTGACGTCCAAACCGCGCGCCAGCTCAGCGATCCGCGTCGTTCAGTCAAACCGCTCCCCCGAAGCGCGGTTTGACTGTTAGGGAAAGCTAACCGCGCGCTTGAGGCGCGGTTTTAGGCGGGGTAAAAGGACGAAACCGCCCCTCCCTCACGCGGTTTCGTCCCTATATAAACCCCCCTTCCACCTCCCATTTTATGAACACCAAACCCATTCCCCCCTCTCTCCCTCTAACTCCTCACTCTCCCCACCCCCTCCCCACCCAAAAACCTTAGAATTAGTTATTTTGTTGGTTGCGGCTAAGTCCGATCTGCCTTCAAAAAACTTTTTCTTTGGTTTTCACTAAAAAACCGTCGAATCTCTGTCCGGATTCGGAAAAAATGGCCGATTTCATCCAAGATGAGGGCATTTTCTATGATCATTATCAAACGGTACGTACTCATTTTACCCAATTGTTGTTGTTGTTGTTATAATGATTTATTTAATTTATATACTAATTGATTTATGTTGTTGTTATGCTATCGTAGGTTGGGCCGGATGTTGATATTTACAATCAACGATATTATGTTGATCAAGGACCGATTGATCCGACTGTTTTATATGATCAAGCTAATCATCGTTCAGGAGACGTTTGGAACGACCACAAGGTACATATTATTTATCATCACTTGTAATTTGTATTTTGTTAAAGTAATTTATTTGTTTGTACAATACTTTACTTAATTGTTAATCGTATTGATTATTTTCAATAATTTAAATCAATACAATACAACACTTATTTAGACTCTTTATAAAGAAATGCATGTCTAAGGAAATGACGACTTAAGCGATCATCATGATCCCCCCATGACCTGGGAAAATCGGGTTCTAAGCGATCCTCGGATCTTCCCTTTTTCTGTCAAAAAGACTGTGTTTCTAATGAGATGTATACCTCTCCTAAGAGTCTTACGAGTGTACTTGTATTGCTTTAAATTGTTGAAAATAATCAATACGATTAACAAAATAATATATTTGATTTTATGTGTATGTGCACAAAAAATAATTATACTTCAATTTTGAAATTTATTTTAGTTATGTTAAAATTAATGTTTATTAGATAATGTATATTTCTATAAAACAACCTTGATTTAATTAATTTTGCATCTTATAATATGTTTATATATGTATAATCATCAACTTATAGTGAAATTTAAATTCTCTCTAGGATGCATACCATATAGTCCGCTATAGGGGCACGACGAATGTGCTTGAATGGAACGACGTCATCTTGCCCTTTCTAAAAAGGGAAAGATTGGATTCGATTAGGCATTTTAATGGAATCAAGATCGACCGCCAACTCATCACAGCATTGGTAGAGAGATGGCAAAAGGAGACACACTGCTTCAATTTTCGTGAAGGCGAGTGCACCATCACACTTAAGGACATCGCCATCCTAACCGATTTGCCCATCGATGGTGATGTTGTTTGTGTGGACTCTATGCCACCACCTAAAGTTGTTGCCAATATGAGTGGTTGACAGCATTTTATATGGACGGTCACCGGGTTGTGTCCGCCAGAAAAGGGAGATCACGATGCGGATGGTCATCCACCACTATCCAAGGGCCAAGTATCCATCACGTGGTTGACAGCGAAGATCAGGAGTAAGCACAACTCTGAGTTCAGAGGCATTCCCCTCACGGAGGAAAGTTCAGAGCGTGATAACGACATTTATGCACGTATCTACATCCTCGGCATGATCGGAGGAGTTTTCTTCCCCAAGAAATCTAACAACCTAATCAGCAATTCATGGTTGAAGATCATACTTGGGAGTTGGGATGATATGGGAAACCTGAGCTGGGCATCTGTTTGCCTAGCTCATCTCTACTGATCCCTCTGTATTGCTAGTGCGAGAGCGGTGAAGGAGATTGATGGGGTCATGTTCATCGTCCAATTTTGGGCTTGGGAGCATTTGTCATGGATTGCGCCGAAGGTAGACCCCGACAAGGAATGGGGTCCCGACTATCCCCTACGACATGAAGCTTATGGTTGTAGGTAAGGGTTTTTTTATCCCACTCATAGTTCTCACCTTTTTTTACTAATTGGGTATTTTATAACGAACCGGCTATTATGTATTAACACCCCATACTTTTTGGATTGAATAGGTGGCTTGGTGAAAAAACATGCGACAACCTAGGAGCGCATAAGTTGGAGGAGTATCATAGGAGGCTTGATCGCCTTTGGGAAGCAGAGGTGAGCATCATAATACGCTATTAATTCCTACTTTTTTAAACTTATATTATTATGTTGATTAATGGTCTATTTTTTATGCACTTTCGTAGCTTAAGTTCGATCCGTATCTAGAACGCATTATTGCGCATCACGTCCACAAGTTCCTGTTACATCCCGGTCAATGGTGCACCCGAGTTCCATTAATCTGCCACCATATAGTGGAGTGGCACTTGCTGGATCGAGCTTCTTCTTCATATGAAGGGAAGGATTGATGATGACCTCCAGTTCCATGATGATACTCCTGCCTCCAGCTCGAGTCTTGGAAATTCTGGTGGGGATGATCTTCGTATAATACACTCCCACCGTGGATACCAGATGTTTGGCCATCTCCAGAATGACCTACACTGCCTTCGACGGCCTCGGTGTAAACGAACATCTCCGCTTGCTTAATTTTATTGGTGGTCAAAAATTGGACCATGACATCAACGTCCTCCTGAGTGGTAAGGAGGAATTCCTCATTCCATAGCGACCCGTTATGTCTGTTTGGATATCGATACACCAATTGATCAACTCTTCTAGTGCCATCCATGCAAGTAATCTGAGTGCACATTTGATGGAGCACTTCAAGCATCGGTCTCGTACGGACCTTCATTTTATAAAAATTGCCACCGACGTAACTTACACCCTTTTCGGTCTCTTCCGTGTAACCATTCCACCGCAACCCAAGCGTGAACCTTTGGAATGCCATCTGCAATAAAACTGTAATTAAGTTACTAACATAAAATCACAAAGGACAATGAAAAGTAATAAAAGAGGGACACGACAATGAAAAGTAATTAAGTTACTAACATAAAATCACAAAGGACAATGAAAAGTAATTAAGTTACTAACATAAAATCACAAAGGACAATGAAAAGTAATACAAAACAAACTTACAAATTAACGTTAATCGCAAAAACTAAATAATTTAAAGGTGCAAAACTGAAATTTGAAGAAGGAAGAGGAGGAGTGTGAAGAATTTGAGTTCTCTGAAACAGCATTTTATAGGAGAATTTTGCAGCACAAACCGGGGGAGGGGGGTTTAGGTCTGCCATGCAGCCCCACCCCCTGCATGCCGACATGTCTACTGTCGGGTGACCAGGCATAAACCGTGCCTTGGGGCAGCGGTTTATGTCTGGACATGGTAAACCGTCGCCTGGTGGGGCGGTTTATCATGCCGACATTTAAACGCTTCCTCTTGAAGCGTTTTGTTGTAAGGTTAGTATATAAACCGCGCCTTCCAGAAGCGGTTTTAGCTGGAATTTAAAAACGCCTGTTGGCGAGGCGGTTATAATGTAAACCGCTGCCAGGAGGATCGGTTTGTATGTTAACCGCCCATTAGAGGCGCGGTTTTTAATAAACGATGGTATTTTTGGAAATTGTTGGGAATATGTGGTATTTTTGTAATTTTTTTAAACAGTGGTAGTTTTTGGATTTTTTTCCCTTTATTGATATCTTTCAACTCCTAAATCTGCCACGGTTTAGATCGATGACGGTAATATAAAAGAACGAATGAAATAGATTTCTTACATCACCAATCATCAATCAATCAATCAATTAAAAGTTCAAGTTTTTTTACTGTTCCATACGACATTATCGCTAGGCAAGGAAAGGTAAGTGTGACAAGTTTTACACGACTCATCAATTATTGTTTGGGGACACTGTTCACAAGGAATTCATTACATGTGACCAACTTCACAATAAGTTTTTATTTTTACAATAAACTTTATTGCACAGAATATTTTATTGTTGATATTTGTTCCATGTACCAGTGTCTATTATTAAGGTTTTTGAGGGTATTGTTCACAATTACATGAAGTTTTATACCAACTTTATCTATAATTTCGTATTTTATAAATGAAACATAATCCTTATTTTATTTTATAGGATGGATTTAGCTATTTTTCGTAACTTGATTATTATTAGACCAAATAATATAAAATATTGGTGTCATGCTATTTATTATTTGACTATACAGTATAAAAGATTTGTGCAGAACACTACATAAAACTTATGGTAAGATAAAAATTATGGAGAGATAGTTATTTCGTATGTATTAGTTATACAAATTTTGTGTTACTCAAAAGTTCAGTAAGTTAAGTTATTTTTAGGGTAAATACAATTTAATATCCAAACCTTTCATTTTAAACAATATAATATCCAAACCTTTTCGAAAACAATCTAATATCCAAATCGTCAACTTTTCGTTCGTTTGACCGTTAGTTGAGACTTCAAAAAAGTTCGAAGTACGACGCTTCATCAATATCCATTGATATCTTCTCTCAAAAACCACCAACATATCGTGGTTCCAAACCCGAGAAGTCCATGACTCCACCATGATGGTATAGAAAATCTAAATATTCAGTCATCTGCAATGCTGAAACAAGAAAACAAAGTTGTATTGTGACAATTTCCCCTAAACAAAGATTTTTTGAAGTGTTAACCAACATTCAAATGGACGGAAAGTTGACGATATGGATATTAGATTGTTTTCGAAAAGGTTTGGCTATTATATTGTTTAAAATGAAAGGTTTGGATATTAAATTGTATTTACCCTTATTTTTACATATAGTTTACTCAAATATGATACTTTTCATAACGTAATTATTTTATATTACCAAAAGCTAATTCATTATTAACTAAAATATTCACAATGTCACCAATTTGCATACTTTAAAGGTTTCATAATGCTAGCAAATTTTTACATAATTTTTACAAATGTGATACTTTTATAATTTGATTTTTATATTAGACCACATATTACAGAATATTTTTGTAACACCATTCTATAACAATTACGTAAAACTTATAGATGAATAGTTATTTCTTATGTATCAATTAAACAAAGGTATTACATGAGTCTTAACGATTAAGACACCACAAAAAATCATGGAAGAATATTTATTTATTACGTATCAACCAAACAAACTTATTATGTAAGTCTTCTATAATGATTAAGATTTCTTATATAACGGTTAAACGATCATATGTAATTAAGATACTACGCAAAACTCATGAAAGTTTTTTATTCAAAAAAATTGTTGAATTATTTGATTTCAACTAAATTATTAAATAAATTGATAAATGTATAAAATATAATTAGTGTCTTATCGCTGCGGAGCGCGAGTAAAAAAAACTAGTATTTGTATAAAAAATATTCCAATTAAGTTCCTAGAAGAAAAGCTGTCTTCTCTCTCCTCTTTTTCTCTCTTTTGATATCGACTGGTGGTTTCTGATCGGCGGCCATGGCCGTGCCGAACTAGGCTCAACTCTTTGGGGTGGGCGATGGTAATCGGCTTCGTTTCGCTGCTCTTGAACTAGTTGATGGAGAGCTGGTCATCCCTAGGGCGGTTCGGGACGAAGGGGCGGTCAAGTGGAGGAACGCGTTGGTGGGGCAATTCCTCACAATGGCGCATCCGATTGCGATCATCCGTCGCTGGGCTCACCGATTCTGGGGAAGAGATGGTAGGGTTTTTGTCTCTATGTTTGGTACGAACATGTTCTTGTTTCAATTTGAGAGTGCAGCGACGAGTACTTGGGTGTTTGAGAGTGGCCGTGGCACTGTGAGAACATTCCTCTCTTTGTTCGTAAGTGGGTTCTAGGGATTCATTCGGTGAAGATGGATTGCACTAAGCTACCGATCTGGGTGCGCATTCGTGAGTTGCTGCTGGAGTATATGACGGTGGAGGGTCTGAGTAGGTTAGCGAGTTTGCTGGGTATACCTCTTTGGATGGATCAAGCTACTAAGTCGGGGCTCAGATGGGTACAGTAAAGTTGTGTGTTGAGATGGCTGCAGATTCTTTATTTCCATCTGAGATCCAGATTCGTCCATAAGGTGGGGAGAGGATAGTCTTGTTTGTTCATTATTTCAATATTCCAGTAAGATGTGATTAGTGTGCTGAATATGGGCATAAGATGGGGGAAGGTGTGGAGTGTGGAAAAGTTTCACATGAGCACATGGTCGTGAATGGCATTGAGGGTCAGGGAACTGAGGATAAGGGTACAGAGAAAGTAGTGGAATCTGGGAGTCCCCCTATTGCTTCTCATGCTGATGGTTCTGGGGTGGAAGCAGATTCTCAAGCTGTGGCAAGTAGTTCTGGGGTGTTGGTAGCAGATTCTCAAGTTGTGGCAAGTAGTTCTGAAGTGGGAGGGAAGATTGCAGCTAACACTTCAACTCCAGCTAGAGAGGATCTGATTGATGCATATGGCTTTCAGTTGGTGGTGAGGAAAGGAAAGAATGTTTCAGTTGGTCGGGAGCAAAGCCGTGAAATGCGTATCTTAGCCTCAGCTATACAGTCCAGAGTGCCATTAAATTCTAAAGGTGTTGCTATGGTCATTGGGAGGAACAAGAAAAAAGGTAAATGAGAATACTCTGCTGGAATCTTAGGGGATTTAATGCCCCTGAGAAGCATAAATACTTAAATAATCAAGTAGCTAGATTACAGATAGAGTTTTTTTGCAGTTTTGGAAACACGGGTGTTGCAAATTATTGCGAAGGATATATTAAGGCAGTTTAGTAGTTGGAAGCATTTAAATAATTACAAGTACTCTCTGGTAGGGTTTGGCTTTTCTGGAAACCGTCTTTGCAAGTGATTGAAGTTGATATGAGGGAACCATTTCATTACTGTTCGAGTTATATCAGGTACTGAAACTTGTTTGATTACAGATATATATATCCCTAATAAAACAAGTGGAAGGGCAGTGCTTTATGATGAGTTGAGAAGGACTCGGGTGACTGTTGAGCCTGGGATTTTCTTAGGAGATTTTAATGCTATCAAAGATAGCTATGAAGCTTCCAATGATCCTGGATTTAGTCAGAGTATTCTCGATTTCAGGAAATGGATATTAGATATGAAGCTAACATATCATAAGGCTATTGGCTCGTGGTTTACTTGGCGGAACAAGCACTCTAATAATTATAATCCTATTGCTAGAAGAATTGACAAAATTTTAGTTAATGAGAAGTGGTTGGATGTTTTTCCTCAAAGCTTGGTGCAGATTGTTGTCCCAGGGGTTTCTGATCATTGTGGTCTTTATGTTCAAACAAATTCTGGTCTCTATACGTTACCGAAGCCTTTCAAATTTTTCTTGTTATGGAGACAGCATCCTCAGTACAGTGGGATTTTGAGAGAATCTTGGCAGGTAGAGGCAGCTGGGGTACCATATTATGTCTTGTACAAGAAGTTAAGGGAATTTAAGGGGAAGCTTAAGAGTTTTAATCAAACTGTCTACTATGATATTTCCACTAGAACTCGAGAAGCGGAACAACTAGTGCTAATGCAAAATGATATATTAGCAGACCTCACAGAGGATAATTCTCTAGCTGTATTGGAGCAGGAGAGTGTGTGTAAAGAGCCGCAGAGTGCAGATGAGTCTTTTTATAGACAGAAGTCAAGAGTTCAGAGGATAACTCAGGGTGATGCTAATACAGATTTTTTCCGTAGTATGGTTAAGTCAAGAAACCATCGACAAACAATACAAAAGCTAATTTCTAATGATGGCAAAGTGGTAACAGAAGTGAAGGAGATAGGAAAACTGGCAGTGGAGTATTACAAAGGTCTATTGGGGGCAGCTGATAGTAATGTTCAACCATTTCCAGTTGAGTATTTTGTTCAACCATTTTCAGTTGAGTATTTTGCAGAGTTATTGGTAAAAAAACTGACAGAGGAGGAAGCTGCTTGCTTGACTTTGCCTGTTACTAGGGAGGAAATAAAACATGTCTTCTTCAGTATGGGAAGAGATAAAGCACCAGGTCCTAATGAGTTTGTTTCTGAATTTTTTAAGTTGGATTGGGAGGTGGTGGGTGTTAATGTGGAGAGCACAGTTATTGCACTTATCCCTAAGCTGCCTGTTGTGGAGAAAATGAAAGATTTTCGACCTACTTCTTGTTGTAATGTGATTTATAAGGGTATTTCAAAGTTGCTCTCACGTAGACTGTCAATGGTGTTACCCAAACTAATTGGAAGAAGTCAGTCCGCCTTTGTGAAGGGTAGGCTGATTAGTGATAATATTCTAATGGCAACAGAACTCGTCAAGGATTATCATAGGAGCAGAATTTCTTCTAGGTGTGCACTAAAGATAGATTTGATGAAAGCCTTCGACTCTGTCTATTGGAAGTTTCTTTTCACAGTTATGTCTGCTATGGGAATGACAAGTAGTTATGTAAAGCTTGTGTAATCTTGTGTATCCACTCCAATGCTCAGTATTTCTTTTAATGGAGGACTATGTGGGTATTTTCCGGCTGCTAAAGGGTTGAGGCAAGGGGATCCTCTGTCCCCTTACCTATTCACGATAGCAATGGAAGTGTTCTCATGACTCCTTGCTCGAGCAGTGCAGGCCAAGCAAATTCCCTTCCATCCTCGTTGTAAAAGTCTGGAGATCACGCAACTCTGCTTTGCAGATGATCTGTTGGTCTTTACGAATGGGACAACTCAAGCAGTTTTTGGGATTCAACAGGTTCTTAACAAGTTCTATGAAGTCTCAGACCTAAAGTCTAATCCGCAGAAATGCCAATTGTTTTGTGCTGGGATATGGCAAGATGAAGATCAAGTATTATCTGATCAGACTGGGTTTCCTTTGGGAAAGCTACATGTTCGATATTTGGGAGTGCCGCTTCTGTCAGGTCAATTGACTTCTGCAGACTATGAATGATTAGTGGACAAAATCACAAAAAGGATTCATACATGGCAGGCCAAGTTATTGAGCTATGCAGGTAAATTGCAGTTAATCGATTCGGTTGTTACTAGTTTATTCCACTATTGGATGTCAGTGTTCCTGCTCCCTGTTAAGGTTCTCAGATTGATTGAAGATGCTTGCAATAAATTCTTGTGGGGAGTTGATGGTGATAAAAGGAAGAAGGCCCCTGTTGCGTGGGCAACAGTAGCAATGCCACGACAGGAAGGGGGATTAGACATTAGAGATTTCAAGACTTGGAACAAAGCTTGCGTGATCAGGCATTTTTGGAATATGTTAGCTATGTCTGGCTCTTTGTGGGTTGCTTGGATGCACAAGTATCGAGTTAAGGGAAGAAGCATATGGTCTCTTCCTGAGTTCTGTTAGTACCTGGACCTAGAAGAAGATTCTCAAATGTCGAGGATTGGCGCATCAACACATATCTGGTATGGGAGATGCATTAGCTTGGGATGGAGTTGTTTTAACCAAATACTCAGTCAAGCTTGTGTGGGGGACTATTCGATCTCCTGCTCCACAGGTTCCATGGTACAATGCTGTGTGGGGTAAGCCAATCTTTCCAAAGCATAGTGTGATGGTGTGGCTTGTAGTGTTAGGCAGAATTAAAACAAAAGATAGGTTGTCTGCGTGGGGCATTCATTGCGATACTTGTTGTGTGTTATGTCCTGGAGGTATGGAGAGCAGAGACCATCTATTTGGAGTTTGTTCGTTTGGTTCTGCAGTTATGAGGCAAGTTCTACTCAAAATTTGTAGGTGGCTTGATTTTGGAGATTGGAGTGCTCAGCTGGTTTGGCCAGTGCAGCAGTGGGGGAAAACGACGGATAAAGTAGTCGTTGGAAGGCTTTTATGGGTCATGGGAGTCAGCTTGATATGGCGAGAAAGGTGTGCCAGGCTTTATGGAAACTCAACATCTCTCTCCTCAACTCAAGTTTCGTATAACATTTTGAGAGACTTTGAAGTGTTTTCGCAAAGTTATATTCCCTTCCAGTTGAGAGTACAAAAATATTAGGATCATTGTCCTTGTATCCACAAATCGACGCTTTGTTCCTCGCCATTTTATTTCCGGGCGGAATTTACTCACCTATCTCTTTCTAACATGATTACTGCGACCATGTCTATTATTGTGTTCATCAAACTTTTCATTTGCAAAAGAACCCTTGAAAGAGGTTTGCTAACCCTAGGGTTCATGTCGCTAGTGCTTTGTCATCTTGTCTTAGCGTTATTATCATTTGCAAAATAACTTCTATCTCTCGGTGAAATTAAGGTTTCCTGATATGTAGTGTTCGTCTCTCCTAGAGGATTGGGGAAGAAGATGAAAAAGACAAAATTTGATTCGAATCAGATGGAGAGGTCTCCTTAATTTGTGTTTATGTATTAACGATGCGTTTAGGACTAATTCTAGTTGGACTGGGTCTGATCATTGATTTTTGCAGGCTTTTAAATAACATTCAAAAGTGGGCTTGTACATGACCCATGGCACCTAGTTTGTTGATAATACATACTGAGTTTCGGATTGTCATTAGGTTGGGCCTTTGATAATTGTCTATCCCAGTGGCGGTTCTTTGTTTTACTTGATTTTATATTTTTATTTTCATCTGCTTCTGCTTCTAAAATCCCGATCATGCATTGAGTTCACACAATTTAAACATAATTATGTGTTCCATCTTTTTTTGGGATTTGGTAAATGCTAGCGTGTCTCTTTACACATTTAGCGGTACGAGGTAAACTACAATCCGCCCAATTTAACTCTTCATTAATTGGCCCTATTCCACTCTCTCACTGATTGCCCCTCTTTATGCAATGCACTCGTACATAACAAACCTCTTGTAGACTAATTAGAGGCTTGTGGTTGGATACTGAGTGAAGATATTTTTTTAATTTATGTTTTGAAACGAAAGTTAGAATTTCACTTTTGAAGTACCTATGTACTTTAGTTGGGCAAGTATTTTCAAAATGTAAAATTTATTAGCGTATAGGTATACGATTGTTGTATAAGGTGTTGATGTTAAAGGAAATGGGTACTGGCTACTTAGGGTATTAGGTTGTTGATGGTATAGAGTATATGGGTAAGTTATAAGGTGTTGATGGTTTAGAGCATATGATATTGATTGGTTTAGAGCATCCACAATGGGTGTCTTTTCCCCATTTCATTGTGACATGACAATTCCACCAATTTCATGGTTGTAGCTTGTTATTTCAACTTTGAAAGATTTCATTAGATGAAATTCAATATGGAAGAGGCAAAGTGGGCACACTTCAATTGGTTAGAGAGTATACAAATTATTTGTTGTATTATAAATGTGAATAGGGCCCACCATATGAAATTGAAAGTAGATTTCATGGATGTAGAAAAAATAGATGTGAAGAGATGAAATTGTAAAAGGTGTACATGTGGCGGTAGGGGGCCACAAATGAAATAGTTATGCTATTTCATGGTTGTTGATGGTAGGGTAGGTGTTTTTTTTATTTTTTTTTCAATTTTATATTTTCTTTATATCTGCTTATAAATGCTGATCATGCCTTATTACTAAAAAAACTTAGACATAATTATTGTAGGGTGACACATTTATAGGTACGAGATAAAATGATTTGGTGTGTGCAAGGTAGGTTCCTATTAACTATTTTGCCTTGTTGGTGATCCCGACCATTAGCGATTCGCCACATATGGAATGAAAATTAGTTAGAGTTATTAAGTTCATCTTTCTTCATTTATTGTTTGATTTGAACTTGCATGTTTTTGCTCCGAAGGATTTTGTAGTGGCGTGGTAAAGACAATTCGTCCAATTTAACTCTTCATTAATTCCCCCTTTTCCACTCTCTCACTCCCCCACGAAGCAGAAATTTCACATGATGATTATAAATGTCATGTAGCTTAACTGGTTAATTGTCATTTAGTTGCTGAGTTGATAAAGTAGAGGTTTGTGGTTCGATACTTAGCGACTATCAATTTTTAATTTATGTTTTGAACAGAAAGTTAGAATTTCAAATTTGAAGTACCTATGTACTTTAGTTGGGCAAGAAAATTTAATAAACAATAAAATAGAAAAAGAAAATAGTTATCTATGTGGCATTGCTAGAAAAATTCCTAATTTAGCAATCTTGCTAGTTTAGAAAGAACTCCTCCATCCCTAAACCATTGCTAAGTTTTTGCCATCTAAGCTCCACCTCATCTTTAGCAATTGCTAAAAGTTGGGGATGGAGATGGTCTTAGACAATCAATAAGCAATTTCTAAAGTGGGCCCTTATCGCCACATCACCAATCAAGCAAAAAACTCATTCAATAATTTCCAAACCCCTACATCCCTAAAACCAATAAGCAATTGCCAATAGTGGGCCCATATAAAGAAAGAAAAAGTAATTGAAAAATAAAAAATATCTTAGGTGGCATTGCAATCTTGCTAAAAAAGAAAGCACCCCCACATTCTTACAATTGCTTAAAAGTGGTGCCACCGAGGATTCCACTAGATAAGCAATGGGATGGAGATGGTCTAAGGTGTTAATGGTTTAGAGCATAAGCCTATAAGGTATTGAAGGTTAGGGTATAGGGGTTTGCAAGGTGTTGATGGTTTAGAGTATATATGATATTGATTGGTTAGGGTATAAGGTGTTATTGTTGTAGAGTATATGGTATTGATTGGTTCGGGTATTAGGGTTTGGTTTAGGGTTACAATAACATATACCAAACCAATAGATCAATTTTGCTAAACGAAAAAGTTAGTTAATCTACAAAGCCAGTCCAAAAGCACATCCCCATCTCCCGCGGTCAATTCCTAAACTTTTCCTTTAATCCGATGGTGAAAGAGCTTCAATCCTTGCCGCGGCGTGTCACCCAATCAGATTTTGCCATTTTCGGAGAGTCGCATTTGCCCATAACCAGTGTGTCTCTTCTTATAAACCAAAGAGACACATAAATAAAACGACACCGTAGAAGGCATCCGTCTTCTTATAAACCAAACGACGCCGCTTCAAGCTAACAGTGGCAGTCTTCACATAATCCTAATCCGAATAGGATAAGGACTTCCATCTTCACTTCAAGTTTTCAACACTTATCAAATAGTTGCAGCCCTTTTATACAAACATCGGTGTCATTGCCACCGCCACCTTCTTCCGAAACACCAGCATTCGGGGCATCACCGTTTGTGGTTGGCTTCACATAGCCAACAGGATGTGGGCATCAGGTCCTATAGTGTCGCCATTCCCCGCAATTACTACACTATCGTGGTTCTCATTTCTTCCTTTTAGATTTTTTAGCCCTTGAACCTTTAGCTTTGACCTGTAATGGATCCAAAAAAATATCATTTGCCAACAAAATATCATTTGCCTTCGGTCTATTAATGCCGGGTATGTCCATGTTGCCAGTGTCCACCATGTCCAGCTTTTCACATAATGATTGAATTCCCTCACGAGCAATCTTGAAGCACTCACTAGATTTGGCCCCTTTTAACATTAGTTGTAAGCTGTTTTGTTGAATAGTACCATACCTGATTGACACAATATTTTATACAAAGTGAGTAAAATTAACGTTCACCTAGCTTCGAACCAATATTAAAAAAATTAAAAGTGATAGTCATGGCAAACCTCAATGCGAAAAGTTGCGATTCATCTATTATGTCCGGTTCCTCCAAGCTCTCTAGTGTATTCGGCAAACCTCAATGCGAAAAAATTAGTAAAAATAATAAAAAAATATCAAGAAGAATAATAAATATACTAGAATATAATAATAAATATATAAAATAAATATTTTAATATTTATTTAAACCCCCTAATTCAATTAGAAGTACCATTAGAAATAGTTAAAATAGAACTTAATCAATCATCAATATATCAAAATCAAAGAGGGATAAATGGAACACAATCAGAAAGAATAAACATATTCCACTAATTGAAAAATTTTAGAACAAAAAGAGATGGAAAATAAAATAATAAATAAAATATAAAAGCTACTACATTCGGTAAAAAATGTAAAAAAATAAAATATGACTTTAAAACCTACAATATTGTTTATTTATAACATTCATGGAATAATTAAATTATTAGAACACATAATGATAATTAAAAATAATTATAATGGTAATTGGTTCTAAATTTTCTATTCCAAAATTGGTTTGGTATTAAGTATTCAAAAGAGGATTCTAACTAAATAAAAAAAATGATGTTTTTCATAAGTCCAAATGATTTTTTTTTACAATAAGAAAAGTTAAGGACCAATTATGAAATTAAGAAAATGGAATATTCCAAGAATATTCTGTCAACTTTAACGAAATGCACTTAGCAGTAAACTTAAGTGGTACCGGGTGCACATATAATAGAGTTTAGTGGTAACCGACGCCCTATTCAAACTTAAGTGATATGTCTACCCCAATTCTCAAACTTAAGTGGAACCCGGGGTATTTTACCTGCGCAAGCTGGGACTCCTCTTGTATTTGGGTAAAGACAATTCTAGTTCGCATATTAGAAAAACACACTTGATTGTTATTTTGAAAAACACACTCAAGTGAGGAGGATGCAGATCGCTTTGTACCTTGTTCGAGAGCCCATGAACTACATAAGGCATATGGTGCTCACGGATGCAAGAACAGTTGCACCTCAAGTTGAAGCTGCAGTCGAAGAGTACAAGAAAGCCCATGAAAGGAGGAAAAAGGAAAGAGAATAGCACAAGGAAATCCAGTCAAAGGGCCCAACGACAACCTGATTTTGCATTTTTTTTCAAGATGATGGACAACCATGTTTTGTTTTGTTTTTCAAGATGATGGACAACAATTTTTTGTTTGGTTTGGTAAATGCTTTCTATGTTTGTTTTTTGGTTTGGTTTGTTTTTTCATGGAAACTATATTGACTTTTCGGACAGCCATCCCTTCTGAATTCAGTCTCAAAGTATCTAGTTTTAACCTGGCTACTACTTTAGCCAAGTGGCAATTTCCAGCTTTCCAGTTACACTTTTGCACAACCTGAAAGGTACCTTCTGGACTTGATCTCCATCTCCCAAGTAATCCCTGGTGTTCACAAATATCCCATGTTCAATACAAATCAATAAAATCTCATTTTCATCGAGCTTTGCGTGACGAACAGGCTTCCAAAGTGAGCTGGCAAAAATGGCAAAGGGACTTGACCAAAATTCCAACTTCCAACTTGTGAGTGAGGTTGCTTCTGTTTCAAGCCATTGTATCTTGTAGAGATGTTTAATTGAGATCATATCATTCCACTTCGTTCCCAATTGCCCTCGTCTAATTAAATTTGCATTCATGTATAGTTAACCCAAAAAGTAAAACTGATTGGCTCCCAATCAGCATAATTAATGACCAAAACCCGTACAAGGCAGATAGAAAATTCTTAGGTAATTAATTTAATGTTCCTAGGATATGGAAAGGCTTCCATTCCTTGAATTTTCACCAACGATGTATGCACTCCCCTTTTAGTGAGAGAATTCAATGTATTAATAAATACAAGAAAAAGTCTTACATAATTAATGAATTCTTTATTGTGTATAATTAAAAGAGTATTTTACTATTAACGAAGCATGATAGATTCACCGGGGGAATAAAAGAAGCATGAATCTTGATGAAAAAGGGGGGGAAATCACCATAGATAAAAAATCATTATAATCAAGCCATTTAAAATCCATACTATTCACGCCTATCATCATCACTATACTTGTGACCAAATATAAATAAAACCATAATTTTCGAAAATCATTAAAAATTGAAAAAGAAATAAGTAACACATTCTTCGACCAAATTGGAACTGCTTAACAAAAACGGATTAAAATCTCCCCCAATGAAATTCATTTGCAATTTCATAGGTAGTCCCTACTTCCACTTCTATAATTTTGATAAAACACCACTTCTCAACTTCATCCTCTCTACAACAATGAAATCCAAATGCAATTTCAATGAGTGAGACCAACATATTAATTTACCACTACTAAACAATTTATATATCATCTTCATCATCTAAAATCTTTAAAAAAGAGTAAAAAAGGGCCCACCAGCGGGTCCATTTGAATTGCAAGAAGAATTGCACATGATGCAAATTTGCACCCTTGCAATAGATTCTCACATCATAGCAATTTAAAGATGCAATTGCACCTCCTTGCCACTTCATCTTGCAAGTCACAAAAATTGCATCATTGGAGATGCCATTATTGCATCTCGTCACCTGTCTTAGGGAACTTAGCCATGACAAATTCAAAAAATACTGCATGCATAGAAAAATCCAGGTTTGGACAATTCAAATAATAGGAGACTTTCCTAGTCAGATGATGTACTGGCTCCCCTCAGTACCTGACAGTTTTGAGTGCTGGAAAATAAAGGAAAAGACAAAAGACTGAAAAAAAAACCCAACAAAGACTTAGTAAACTTGTTAACAGAAGACATCCATTGCTGGCCCCTTTGCTGCTCCAACGCTCCACCCCGCCCTGCATCAATCGACTCTCATGTAAGCCGAGGACATTTGCTTGAGGAGGCCTCAGGGGTCTCTTGATGCTCCGTATGCCGATTCTCAATAAAAGTATTGGTCAATTCGACTATACGGTACACCGGCAAATAAGCGCACTGGTCCTCCTTAACATAAACGCCCAAGATCGCTTCTAGTCTCAATGGGGTGTCCTCCGGCGGGAGGATCAAGGACTCAGCAAATTGATGAGGCTGAAAGCTGACTCTATGTCCCAGGAAGATCGACACGAGATGATAATCACAGGGACCAGAAAGCTGTAGATTGTGGTAGAACTTCCACACCACATGGGGGCAGTAACTGGTGCTTCCTCGACTCCGGAGATCAAAGAACTTTTCACAGCCAAGATTTTTTATTAACATCTTCACTTCTGGAGGGAAAGGACTTAGGTGGATGAACTCGTACTCGGCCACAATTGCGGTTTTGCTTGTAAATGAAAGATAGTCACCGAGACTTGCGGTGGATCGGCAGTCTTCGTTTGATAGAGATAGTATCCCCATTTCCGCAAACGATCTACTTTTGTTTGCCATGGAGTCTGGAGGAAGAAGGAACAAGGGGAAGGTGAAGATGGAGGAGAGAGAGAATGTATGTGTAAGAAAATTGATCGTGGGGGTTGACTCTGGACACGTGAGTGTGATGGAGACGGTTGAGTCTGGAATGTCAAGAGTTAGAAGATTACGGAAGATATGTAATGATGATGGTAGCTCGTGTAGGTTAAACTAGGGTAAGTCATGCTAGTTAAACTAGGGTTGGCGCACAAATTGATAAGTCAGGAGAAATGAAATGGGCTCGCACGTTCCAGACCCACTTTTGAATATTGCATGGATCATGTACAAGCCCACTTTTGAATGTTATTTAAAAGCGTACAAAAATCAATGATCAGACCAAGTCCAACTAGAATTAGTCCTAAACGCACCGTTATTACATAAACACAAATTAAGGAGACCTCTCCATCCGATTCGAATCAAATTCTGTCTTCTTCATCTCCTTCCTCAATCCTCTGGGCGAGACGAACACTACATATCAGGAAACCTTAATTTCACCGAGTGATAGAAGTTTCGAGAAAATGACAATAACGGTAAGACAAGATGACAAAGCACTAGCGACATGAACCCTAGGGTTAGCAAAATGAAAAGTTTGATGAACACAATAATAGACATGGTCGCCGTAATTGTGTTAGAAAGAGATAGGCGAGGGGAAATAAAATGGCGAAGAACAAACAAGACAATAAATTGGGAAATTCAAACTACGTCGAATGTGGATGCAAGTAATTGGGATTCAAAAAGATGATTAAGTTAGGGAGTTCAAATTGGATGGGGAGCTTCTCTTGGAACCGTGAAGGGGTGTCCCTCCAAGACGAGAGAGGGATCTTGTAATTGGTTAGGGAGACTGGAAATGGGTTAGGGCGGCAGTGGGTCTACCCAATTGGGTTTGCAGTCTTAATCCATTTAATTTAATCGGGCCAGTTAGTTGGACTAGGATGAAAACAATCTTAACGCGTAAGGAGGCTTTTTGTAATTTGTTTAGTTATTTAGTGGCGCAGTTAGGTTCAACAAACGGGAGCCGTGGATATTAAGAATAAATGGTTAAGATCGGCCAAGGTACCCGTACCCCGGATTTTGCCCTACGCACCGTAGAAGTCACCATATATATATTTATATTGATGATGGAACAAACAACTAAAGATGGTATAAGAGTACACATTTTATCGCTACAACACAATTCATTACTTATTCATAAATTGACATAAAATTAATTTATTATACTATAAACGAAATTCCAATTGCAATAAATACCTGAACAAATATCTTTCCTCCTAATGTCTGTGTTTTTCTTTTCAACAATCCTGATTGTCCAGCAACAACGGCAATTTCACTAGTTTTGATTCTACCAATATGCAATTGCAAGTGTAGAAAGAACATTTGTGCTTTGAGTTATATTAAGAACAAGTTTCGAGGTCAAATTGGCGACCAACTTGCTAATTGATTATTTAGTGGGACACATTAAAAGAGACTTACTTAACAATAGTGTAGATAACAAATGTTTTTGCGTTTCTTTCACACTATGAAATCCCGTCATGGTGGTTTATGAAAACAATGATAGTATTATTCGGTTATTTTTTATACGTGAATGAATAATTTGGATACAAGTAGTTTTAAATTTATTAGTTAAATATTTAAATATTTATATTATGAAAAAGACGGATAGTTTCAAATCCTGCCACCGCCACTGGGTGCTGGTGCTTGTTGGTTGGGCGGCCAGCTCTTCAAATTCAATATTGATCAAAGGCTGTACTCATATAGGTCCTATGTGGATGGATGCACCATGCCTAGCTACACAACCTTATCTACGTACATTTGTCTCCATACGTTGTTGAACCGAAGCGGTCCAATACGCCATCTATGATCTCTCTTAAGTGATTGCTCAATTTTTCAAATCAGGAAATTCAATAGTTTTTTTTAATGAAAACTTTATTCATTAATTAAATCAAAGTATTGGAGTTTCCTCCCATATCTTCTCTAAGAAGAGGTACAAGAAAATAAGGTGGGTTGTCAATCCACACCTCCTCTCCCTTCCAGTTACAATCAACAGGGGCCATGAAATGGGCCGGTTTGTTCTTTTGTCGGCCCACAAAGTTCCATTGAACATGATTCAGTGACTAGGCTTTGGCTCGGATCTTCGCACAGAGAAACCCGATCTCGGTCTCTTTGTCTTCTTCTCTTCTCAGCTGGTAAACGAACCCCTGGCAATCCGATTCCATTTCCAGCAGCTCAAATTTTGGAAACGAACCCCTGACAATCCGATTCCATTTCCATTTCCATTTCCAGCTGGGCATGTTGTCTTCTTGCCGCTAGAAACCTCTTCAAAGTTGTCTGTTAACCTTGACGCCAACTGTAAGATGCTGGAAGAAAACTCTCTGCAGATCCAACCACCAAGGGGTCCCTTGACCCTTCCCAAGAACTGTTATCCAATCTCATCGCCAAACCCTTTGACTCGACTGGAAGTTCAGGAACATCGAAAGCGAAAAGGGAAAGAACCTATGGTTTACAAGAGACAGGAGGTCAAGAAGGTTTTTTCTCGCACTAACAGAGCTCTATTTATTGAGGAGCCTAAAGAAGAAACCATCAAGAAATTGACTGCACTCCCTGATGAATCCTCTCAACAGAAAGTGGCTGATCGGAAAAGAGTAATCTTTTTAGGGGTCTTTCTCTTGGCTTAAGCTTCAGTTTACAAGTTGTTATCTTGTTTCTTTTTATTTCTAGCTGATCTGTTCCATTGGAATGCTGTGTTTGGTACTTTGAATAAAAGAAGACCCATTTACTCTATGTTTCCCTACTTTACCTCGGAGCTTTAATTCACCAGATTACTCTCTAAGCAATTAGTTAAATGTGCACGAGTTTTGTTCTTTAAATTGTAGACTAATATGAGTTATTCCTGTAAACTCTTGCCCAGTTAAGCCGACAGGCCATTGGTTTCTCAACCTCTAATCATCATTCCACTCTGTTCGCTGAATTATATTTAAGCTTGAAACAAAAAACCAACGAATTCCCATTTGACACCTGACCTTCTAAAACCCCCAAATTTTGTGGTTCATGATAAAGATTCCAAATCTATCAATTATCAAGTACCTCGTTGGCTAATTTTTAGTTGAAGACTTCTGCTGCAACTTGACACATGTTACCACTTCTACGATAGCTCCATAGCCAAGCTGGTTGACTTTCACTTTTTTAGCTTCCCCATTCTCGCATCTTCTAAGAAACTCTGCAATTTCATTCATCATTTGTCATTTTCTTTCAACTTCAACGACAAAAGTTGGGGTGGCTGGGCGGTTAATATGCTGAATTACTTTGGTTCCAAATACAGAGCTCTTTTACTCTGTTTCCTTAATACGACACCTGTCGTCTTGTTTAACATGGTCTCCATGGCCAAGTGTAAACATCACATCACATGATGATTCTTGATTAAAAGTTGAGATCCCTCTGGCTGGAATGGCGTCGTTGGTGTGTCTATCACCTTAGATCGCCTTTGGTTTCTTGGATCCACGGCCGCCTGTTGGCATGTTTTCGGCCATCAATGCTCCGGCGAATTGGTATCTGTTGTTGATAGCAATCGCCTTTGCAGCCGGTACTCTGCTTCATATGACGCTGACGAGGCGGTGGTGGACGGTGGACCTAGCCCATTGATTGCGCTGGTGTTTTGAATTCCGTTAATTAAGCCTGCAATTGTCTTGGATTTTATTACTTTTTTTTCTTCCTTTCACTTTCCTATTATTAGCTAAGCGGTTTTCCTTTTTTTTTTGTATTTTAATTGCTCTTTTGATTAATTGGACCCTTTTGCGACATTAGTTAGGCTTTCCCCTTATTAATCTGGTCTTTAAGTTTTGACTATTTTTTATTTGAAATTCCCGTTTTTCATTTTGATTTTGTTTTTTTTATTACGTTCAATAATTTTTCTTATTTAATTTTCCTGTTTCCTTTCTCCGTTTCGATTAATTCTCCGTTTACCTTCATGCTCTCTTTATTCCTCTATACGTGCCTATTTGTTGTTTTATTTTATTTCTGTATTTCAGGTTAGTATTTTATATTTATTTTCTTTCATTATTTTTTCTTTTGTTTAATTGTTTTGGTCGAGCGCATCTTCAACTTGTGTCGGAAGCAAGTCTCGAGTTTATCTCTTCAATGGCTATTTAGTCTTTCTGAAGAATTCTCAGGGATGGCTAGAGGCTCCGTCAACTTCTAAGGTTATGGAACTCTCTCAATTGATTTTGTTAAATCCTATTATGGTATTATTAATGCTTACTAATAATATTTTGATTGTCACATGTTGTGGGGATTTTCAAATGGTCATCATGGACCCTACATCGAGGAAGACCTCTCTTTTTGGAGCCGGAGCCATTTACAGGGAAGTTTTTTCTCTCTTCCTGTCCCCGTGTCAGTTTCGTGTCTTTTCGCTCCTTGGAGCTTTCATGGAGCTGCCCATTAGTGGCATAACAAGCTCTTTTATCGGGAGTCCGGTTGCATACGGGCTACCGTTCTTTATTATTATATATTTTGTATTCCTGTTGTCCGGCCATGCCCGAGGGGCTTATCTTGGATAAAAAAAAATCTCCGTGCCAAATCAAGGCCAAAGTCGATGGCCATGGCTTCTGCTTCCTCGGGATTCCATTGAATTTGCGATCTCCGAACTCCAGCAAATAAAAACCTTCCCCCGCTATCTATGATAACCACTCCCCAACCCGTTCCTCGATCCGCAATTCAAGCCGCATCGACATTCACTTCACAGGAGCTGTTGATGGTGGCTGCCACTTCTACTCATCATTTCTAGCCGACAATTGTGGGGTCACCTGTTTTTCCAGGTAATCCTGCAACCAATTGCATGCCCTAGGTAGAATTTCCCACTCTTCTAACTACTTCTTGTTCCACAGATGGCAGTTTCGTTGGTCCCAGATATACCACAGCGCCACCAGGCACTCTCCTAGGTGCTCATCAGATTCCGTCTCATGGAGTTCACAATACCACTCTTCCGAGGTAAGATCTCCCCCTTTCACTATGTATGAATCCATAGGGCTAGCTCTCCACACTCTGCGAACCCAATCACAATCACGAAAAATATGCTCTTGCGTTTCCCTCAAATTGCAAAAAGGGCAATTTTCACTGCTCTTTTGCATTCGATCATAGATACGGGCTCCTGAATGAATTATATTTCTCAA